TTGTGATGATCATCTTTTTTTTTATTCGATTTTCGACTGCGATTTGGTGACAGCGATCTTGATCGACTGATTGAACGATTCTTGGTCGATTGTGATTCTGTAAATTAAATATTTGTTTATTATACATTCATTGAAAGAAATATAAATAAATTTACTTTTCTTTTGTTTTTTCTTTTTGTCTATTTCCGTAATGGACGATGACGATGAAGTTGAACTAGAAAAAGATGTACTTGAACTGGAACGTGAAGCTGATGATGAATTTGAAGATGTTGATCGAGCTCGTTTCGAATGTTTTTTATTCTTTTTTGATGCCGATTTTGAAGCTAAAATTTTCTTCATGGACTGTTTTGAACGTGGAGGAGAAGGAGTAGGCGATTTTCGTTTCGTTTTTGACACCGATTGTTCAATTACTGGATCATTGTTTTTTCTTCTTGATGATTTATTGTCCTTTGGACTTGGCGATCGGGAACGAGATCGATGCTTAGATTTTATTTTTTCAAGTTTTTTTGGTGCTTGATTGGATGCATTACTAGCGACGGATGAAGATGATGATGATCGTTGTTGTTGTTTTTCATTTTTTCGCGATGATTTTATTGGACTGCGACTATGTGAAGGGGATTTTGATGGTGAACGATGTCGATTCTTTTCATCATCTTCATTTTCGCTAGGTTTTGGAGCAGAATTAATGACTTTTTTGTCCAAACGTCTGAATATAACAAAAAAATACATTTAAAAGAAAAAACAAGAATAATCTAGCTAACCGTGATTTCGATTCTGTACTAGGTGAATCTCGTGTTCGATGTGTTTTTGGTGGTGAACGTCGTCTATTACGATCACGTCGATCATCATCATAATAAGGTCGTGATTTATATCCAGCAACATTACCATTCTCATGACGTGATTTACTATTCGATGATGATGATGTTGGTTGACGACCGTTGGCTTTATTATCTGTTTTATAAATATCAGGTTTTATATCTTGTCGGTGACTATCTTCTTCACGTTTACGAATTTCACGTAATCGGTCATCTTCTTCCTAGATGAAAATGAATTATTTTTAAATATTGAATCAATAGAATTATACCTGTCGTTGAATCATTTCTCTCTTTTTCATTTCAACCAATTCTTCAGGTATACCATCTGGTGATGCTTGTGCACTAGTTAAGAATTTCCATAATTCACCAATAAATAATCGAGCTTTACTTCCACCAAGAAAACCGGTTAAATTAATTTGCATCATTTTTGGATCAGGATGCTATAAGAGTAATGAACATTTTCTAAAATTCAATATTTTTTCTTTTGCAAACCTTATCTTCTAATTGATTAAAAACAAATTCAATAACAACATCATCTTCAATACCTAATAATTCTTGTAAACGTTTAGTAATCCATGGTTTTATCACATCTAAATTAACTTTTAACATATCAATCTATAGAAGAAGAAAAAAAGTTGATTTATTTCAAAGTCAATAGATAATTATTATTATTTTACTTTAACATCAATATTATCTGGAAATTTCATTTGTTTAAGTAATTTTTTTTGTTTATTTGCAAATCGACTATCTTGATCAGCCGAAGTACCCTAAGGAGTATTAAAAAATAGTTAATTTTTTCGAATATAATTATTTCATAAAACTTACTTTAAAAAATCCAGCATCAGCCATTATTATTAAAAATATCTTAAACAAAATCAAAAAAAAAAGAATATCTTTTCCTTCTATTTGCTATTAAAGAGAATGC